ATTTCATTGCTACCGAGGGTTTTCATAAGAAACGTGACACGGATGTTGTACGCGCGTCGAACGCGCGTCAAAAACATGCGACATAATGAGGGCAGTAGCATGCAATACATAACTGGAAATTGGCCAAATGAGATTAAAAACGGCCCTGCTCATAGCAATTTAAGCTCATAGATAAGGTTCAACTGTTTTGTTAACAATTTTCAATGTTTCCCGAGGTTTATGTTGGGAGCTCTTTCGCAGTCCGCCGTCTCCCAAATGCCACCGACATGGTCTTGAGAAAGAGGCCATGAATCACAAATCATCCATGTCAGAAACTTTGGTGCTGTCCAGTAAATGTACAAATAATATAAACACAGTTATCAGCGAATGAAACTATGGCATAGGACCGTTCCGAAGTAATTCCATTAGAATCCTATGGAGGCGTATGAAGCTGCCCGCACAGCGAGGACAAGATTTTGCTCCCAAAATGATGTCTTACAAACCATACGAATCACTGAGAACCTGCCGAATGGAAAATACCGTGCTGCTTAATCGTGTCATGTCCTGTTGCTTGAGTGAAAGGCGGGAGCTCCGAGCTGGATAGACGGCTGACGTGGCTGGTCGAGGTGGGTGGGCAACAGCAGTAACGGCGGTGCCGGCCACCCCTAACTGATAGACGGCTGACGCGGCAGACTGAGATGGGTGGGCAACAGCAGTAACGGCGGTGCCAGCCACCCCTAACTGATAGACGGCTGACGTGGCTGGCGAGGTGGGTGGGCAGCAGCAGTAACGGCGGTGCCACCCCAACTGATAGACGGATGACGTGGCAGGCTGAGGTGGGTGGCAACAGTAACGGCGGTGCTTGTCACCCCTAACTGATAGACGGATGACGTGGCAGGCTGAGGTGGGTGGGCAACAGCAGTAACGGCGGTGCCGGTCACCCCTAACTGATAGACGGATGACGTGGTAGGCTGAGGTGGGTGGGCAACAGCAGTAACGGCGGTGCCGGTCACTCCTAACTGATAGACGGATGACGTGGCAGGCTGAGGTGGGTGGGCAGCAGCAGTTACGGCGGTGCCGGCCACCCTCAGGGGCCTCGGTGTGCACGTGACGTTCGTCAGATCAACACAGCTGGACACCCAACTGGACCTGGCTTCAGCTTCGCAACATGCAGCTTGGGGGCAACGCCCAATGCTGTGAGTAAAGTCGACGGCCGACGGTGCCAAGGACTACAGAGGCCGTCATGCACGCCCATCGCTGCTATCGCACACACACACCCGGCCCGTCCCCGCGTAACACCCTGCGGACATCCCTGCACAATATCCTCCATTTGGAAACGCTCCTTTCGTCAAGTGTCCTTCATAGCTTTCCTTATTCTCAAATGTGCCATCTTGTGGAATCTGAGCGCAAACAATAGGAATAGAAAAATAGCCTGAACAGAAGCGTCTGTTTTTACTTACAGCTTGTTTGTCAGATTTTTTGCACCAATTACAAAGTTGTGTTGCATGCAACTAGTCAGCCATATGATTGAAGTCCGCAGAGACCTCCCGTTTTCCAGTGTTGAGTAGATTGTGCGGGACCATCGCTTGATCGATACAATCGCTCTTCGCTGTTTCTAGCGCTGGTATTCTTTATAGGGTTTGGACGTAACTGTATAGTATTGGCCTCTCTCGTTGTGCAGTGTTCGGTGCTCTATTGGATAACTTACTGGGCGGTTGCGTTGCAGCGGAAGTTTTTCCAGCAGCACAACTGCACGACAACTGACGCCCAGCAAAAGTACCACTCACGCGCCGCTCAGCTCTACCCTCCGCGACAAGCTGCACGGCCTGGCCGTCCAGGCCATGAAGCTAGATGGCACACAGGGGGAGGGCGGCTGCCGCGAGCTGATGTCCTCACACCGCAACACTAGTCATCGGCCCGGCTTGTGGACAGCCTTGCCGCACACTGGTCATCGGCCCCGGCTGTGGACACTCTGCCGCACACTGGTCATCGGCCCCGGCTGTGGACACGCTGCCGCACACTAGTCATCGGTCCCGGCTGTGGACACGCTGCCGCACACTGGTCATCGGCCCCGGCTGTGGACACGCTGCCGCACACTGGTCATCGGCCCCGGCTGTGGACACTCTGCCGCACACTGGTCATCGGTCCCGGCTGTGGACACGCTGCCGCACACTGGTCATCGGCCCCGGCTGTGGACACGGTGCCGCACACTAGTCATCGGCCCCGGCTGTGGACACGCTGCCGCACACTAGTCATCGGCCCCGGCTGTGGACACGGTGCCGCACACTGGTCATCGGCCCCGGCTGTGGACACGCTGCCAATCCTCTGGTGGCAGCTGCACGTTATACAAGCAGCATGAATCATTTTGGCATGTCTGGTCGCTTTTCTTCTGGCGCGACCTTGATACAGGATGAATGATGTTCAGTTTGCGTTATGCACTTTTATGTCCGAGGTCTAATTAGCGCTGCTGCTACTTTATTCCTTGTATTAAAACCGGAATGCCGTCCACGGTCAGATATCATTACTCCGTAGAACGAGATGGATGTTGTATGCGTGTACGCTCTTTCACACCGTGTTTCAGTTACCAATCTATCGTCCTGCAGTCGGCTGCTGGCCGGACGCTGGGCTCTTCACACCGTGTTCAGTTACCAATCTATCGTCGTGCAGTGGGCTGCCGCCGGACGCTGGGCTCCTTGCTCCGCGCTGCGGCGCTTCATATCGTCGATTGTCCCCGGCGATTCCTGGGCCGAGGGGCGCCTGTGCTGAATAGCGCC